CACGCAGTTCTCCGCACCCATTTGCCGTCCGCAGCCGTCCGCGCAGCCAAGGTCGCTCATCACCAGCAGCTTCTTCTCCCCACACCCATTTCCAGCCACCCCCTTGCACCCACGCCGTCCGCAGCCGTCCGCGCAGTTCTCCGCACCCATTTGCCGTCCGCAGCCGTCCGCGCAGCCAAGGTCGCTCATCACCAGCGGCTTCTTCTCCCCACCCATTTCCAGCCACCCCCTTGCACCCACGCCGTCCGCAGCCGTCCGCGCAGTTCTCCGCACCCATTTGCCGTCCGTCGCTCATCACCAGCGGCTTCTTCTCCCCACGCATTTCCAGCCACTCCGTTGCACCCACGCCGTCCGCAGCCGTCCACGCAGTTCTCCGCACCCATTTGCCGTCCGCAGCCGTCCGCGCAGCCACGCTCGCTCATCACCAGCGGCTTCTTCTCCCCATCCATTTCCAGCCACTCCGTTGCACCCGCGCCGTCCGCAGCCATCCGCGCAGTTCCCCGCACCCATTTGCCGTCCGCAGCCGTCCGCGCAGCCAAGGTCGCTCATCACCAGCGGCTTCTTCTCCCCACCCATTTCCAGCCACCCCCTTGCACCCACGCCGTCCGCAGCCGTCCGCGCAGTTTTCCGCACCCATTTGCCGTCCGCAGCCGTCCGCGCAGCCAAGCTCGCTCATCACCAGCGGCTTCTTCTCCCCACCCATTTCCAGCCACTCCGTTGCACCCACGCCGTCCGCAGCCATCCCAGCAGTGCTCCCACCCCATTGCCGTCCGCAAATCCGTCCGCGCCATCCAAGGTCGCTCCTCACCAGCGCTTCTTCTCTCCCCACCCATTTACCAGCCACCCCCTGCACCCACGCCGTCCGCAGCGTCCATCGCATTTCTCTGCATCCCATTTAGTTTTGCACGTCCGCAGCCGTCCGCTCATCCCAAGGTCGCTCATCACCAGCGGCTTCTTCTCCCCACCCATTTCCAGCCACCCACTTGCACCCACGCCGTCCGCAGCCGTCCACGCAGTTCTCCGCACCCATTTGCCGTCCGCAGCCGTCCGCGCAGCCAAGGTCGCTCATCACCAGCGGCTTCTTCTCCCCACCCCTTTCCAGCCACCCCCTTGCACCCACGCCGTCCGCAGCCGTCCGCGCAGTTCTCCGCACCCATTTGCCGTCCGCAGCCGTCCGCGCAGCCAAGGTCGCTCATCACCATCGGCTTCTTCTCCCCACCCATTTCCAACCACCCCCTTGCACCCACGCCGTCCGCAGCCGTCCGCGCAGTTCTCACCGAACCCATTTGCCGTCCTCGCACCTAAGGTCGCTCATCACCAGCGGCGTCTTCTCCCCACCCATTTCCAGCCACTCCGTTGCACCCACGCCGTCCGCAGCCATCCGCGCAGTTCTCCGCACCCATTTGCCGTCCGCAGCCGTCCGCGCAGCCAAGGTCGCTCATCACCAGCGGCTTCTTGTCTCCACCCATTTCCAGCCACCCCGTTGCACCCACGCCGTCCGCACCCGTCCACGCAGTTCTCCGCACCCATTTGCCGTCCGCAGCCGTCCGCGCAGCCAAGGTCGCTCATCACCAGCGGCTTCTTCTCCCCACCCATTTCCAGCCACCCCCTTGCACCCACGCCGTCCGCAGCCGTCCGCGCAGTTCTCCGCACCCATTTGCCGTCCGCCACCCATTTCCAGCCACTCCGTTGCACCCACGCCGTCCGCAGCCATCCGCGCAATTCTCCGCACCCATTTGCTGTCCGCAGCTGTCCGCGCAGCCAAGCTCGCTCATCACCAGCGGCTTCTTCTCCCCACCCATTTCCAACTTCTCCCTTGCACCCACGCCGTCTGCAGCCGTCCGCGCAGTTCTCCGCACCCATTTGCCGTCCGCAGCCGTCCGCGCAGCCAAGGTCGCTCATCACCAGCGGCTTCTTCTCCCCACCCATTTCCAGCCACTCTGTTGCACCCACGCCGTCCGCAGCCGTCCACGCAGTTCTCCGCACCCATTTGCCGTCCGCAGCCGTCCGCGCAGCCACGCTCGCTCATCACCAGCGGCTTCTTCTCCCCATCCATTTCCAGCCACGCCGTTGCACTCGCGCCATCCACAACCGTCCGCGCACTTCTCCGCGCCCATTCCCCGTCCGCAGCCGTCCGCGCAGCCAAGGTCGCTCATCACCAGCGGCTTTTTCTCCCCACCCATTTCCAGCCACCCCCTTGCACCCACGCCGTCCGCAGCCGTCGGCGCAGTTCTCGGCACCCATTTGACAACGCCGTCCGCGCAGCCAAGGTCGCTCATCACCAGCGGCTTCTTCTCCCCACCCATTTCCAGCCACTCCGTTGCACCCACGCCGTCCGCAGCCGTCCACGCAGTTCTCCGCACCCATTTGCCGTCCGCAGCCGTCCGCGCAGCCAAGGTCGCTCATCACCAGCGGCTTCTTCTCTCCACCCATTTCTAGCCACCCCCTTGCACCCACGCCGTCCGCAGCCGTCCGCGCAGTTCTCCGCACCCATTTGCCGTCCGCAGCCGTCCGCGCAGCCAAGGTCGCTCATCACCAGCGGCTTCTTCTCCCCACCCATTTCCAGCCACTCCGTTGCACCCACGCCATCCTGTCGCTACGCGACAGCCAGCAACTAACAAAAAAGCAGCTTCTTCCACAACAAAACTGACAAGACAAATCAAAACATCACTGGCTCCTTCTTCTTCCCTATCCGTTTCGCCATGGCACGCGGCATTCTGCTAAACCCACGCTGCTTCAGCCACAACAGCACACCCAATTTTTACATTCGACCCGTTGTTCCGGACCCAAACAAAAACGAAAACTGGGAAAAGAAAGAAGGCAAAGACGTTGCAAACATCGAAACACGGAGAACTTAAAAACGTTTGTGTCCTATTGCCGAGCGTTTCGCAAGTCTTATTACAAGCTATTTGCACGATTTCCTCTCCGTCCAGCATGCTGTCTCGCTCCCTCCCAGCGAAGCTCTCCCCAAGCTATTTCCACGGCTTTGTTATGTCCAGCATGCTGTCTCGCCCCCTCCCAGCGAAGCTCTCCGCAAACATTTCCGACCCATTTCCCGTCCGCAGCCATCCGCGCAGCCAAGCTCGCTCATCACCAGCGGCTTCTTCTCCCCACCCATTTCCAACTTCTCCCTTGCACCCACGCCGTCCGCAGCCGTCTGCGCAGTTCTCCGCACCCATTTGCCGTCCGCAGCCGTCCACGCAGTTCTCCGCACCCATTTGCTGTCCGCAGCCGTCCGCGCAGCCAAGCTCGCTCATCACCAGCGGCTTCTTCTCCCCACCGATTTCCAGCCACCCCCTTGCACCCACGCCGTCCGCAGCCGTCCACGCAGTTCCCCGAAATGCAATTTGCCGTCCGCAGCCGTCCGCGCAGCCAAGGTCGCTCATCACCAGCGGCTTCTTGTCCCCACCCATTTCCAGCCACCCCCTTGCACCCACGCCCTCCGCAGCCGTCCGCGCAGTTCTCCGCACCCATTTGCCGTCCGCAGCCGTCCGCGCAGCCAAGCTCGCTCATCACCAGCGGCTTCTTCTCCCACCCATTTCCAGCCACTCCGTTGCACCTACGCCGTCCGCAGCCATCCGCGCAGTTCTCCGAACCCATTTGCCGTCCGCAGCCGTCCGCGCAGCCAAGGTCGCTCATCACCAGCGGCTTCTTCTCCCCACCCATTTCCAGCCACTCCGTTGCACCCACGCCGTCCGCAGCCGTCCGCGCAATTCTCCGCACCCACTTGCCGTCCGCAGCCGTCCGCGCAGCCAAGGTCGCTCATCACCAGCGGCTTCTTCTCCCCACCCATTTCCAGCCACCCCCTTGCACACACGCCGTCCGCAGCCGTCCGCGCAGTTCTCCGCACCCATTTGCCGTCCGCAGCCGTCCGCGCAGCCAAGGTCGCTCATCACCAGCTGCTTCTTCTCCCCACCCATTTCCAGCCACCCCTTGCACCCACGCCGTCCGCAGCCGTCCGAACCGCAGTCTCCCCACCCATTTGCCGTCAGAAGCCGTTCCGAGCAGCCAAGGCGCTCTCACCAGCGGCTCCCATTTCCAGCCACTCCGCAGCCGTCCGCGCAGTTCTCCGCACCCATTTGCCGTCCGCAGCCGTCCGCGCAGCCACGCTCGCTCATCACCAGCGGCTTCTTCTCCCCATCCATTTCCAGCCACGCCGTTGCACTCGCGCCATCCACAACCGTCCGCGCAGTTCTCCGCACCCATTTGCCGTCCGCAGCCGTCCGCGCAGCCAAGCTCGCTCATCACCAGCGGCTTCTTCTCCCCACCCATTTCCAGCCACTCCCTTGCACCCAGGCCGTCCGCAGCCGTCCGCTCCATTCCTTTCCCTTCCTTTCCCATCCTTTTCCGTTCCTTTCCTATCCTTTCCCTTCCTTTCCCTTCCTTTCCCATCCTTTCCCTTCCTTTCCCTTCCTTGCCCTTCCTTTCCCTTCCTTTCCCTTCCTTTCCCTTCCCTTTTCCTTCCTTTCCCATCCTTTCCCTTCCTTTCCCTTCCTGTCCCTTCCTTTCCCTTCCTGTCCCTTCCTTTCCCATCCTTTCCCTTCCTTTCCCTTCCTTTCCCATCCTTTCCCTTCCTTTCCCTTCCTTTCCCTTCCTTTCCCTTCCTTTCCCTTCCTTTCCCTTCCTTTCCCTTCTTTTTCCTTTTTCCTTCCTTTCCCTTCCTTTCCTTTCGTTTCCCTTCCTTTTTCCTTCGTTTCCCTTCCTTTCCCTTCCTTTCCCTTCCTTTCCCTTCCTTTCCCTTCCTGTCCCTTCCTTTCCCTTCCTTTCCCTTCCTTTCCCTTCCTTTCCCTTCCTTTCTCTTCCTTTCCTTTCCTTTCCTTTCCTTTCCCTTCCTTTCCCTTCCTTTCCTTTCCTTTCCTTTCCCTTGCACCCACGCCGTCCGCACACCACCGTTCGAGCCAGGTCGCTCCCCCACGCGGTTAAACAACTAAACGAGAACCCAAGCATCGAAGATGCTTTTGGGAAAAAACTGGGCCACAAACTCCAACGGTACCTGATTTTCAGGCTGCATCTTCTACGCGCTGAAGCATGTGAAACCTGACAACTGCCACCAGTCATTGGCTTGGCTGAAGGGACTCGTTTACAGAAACCAGGTCTTTTCCCAATCATCAATGATATGGGTTCATATGCGTCTTTCCTGGACATCTTTCCTTCAACTGGCAAGTTGGCTACTAAGGCACTAAGGTAGCTACAGGAAAACATCGTTTTTGAGTATTCAAAGGCTAAAAATATCTGCCCATATCTGCCCCATAAATCATCTTTTCATCATCTTTTCATCATCTTTTCACAGACCATCACAGACCATCACCGCGCCTCCCTAAATCCACACCAAGACCACCCGCCTTGGCCTGGCCGGTGGTTCAGGTGGGATTTTTGTGGGTGAAAACATCGTGTTTTTTATACATCAGGTTTTGTGTATATATATATATGATGTGTGTATGTGTTTATATAATATATAGATATCAGATAGAACGGATATTGTAGATATTATATATAGTAGATATAATATGATATATATATATATATATATTATACGTATATATAAGATATGTATGATAGATACAACATATACATATTATACAATATATATATATATTATATTATCATGAGCATCTGTATATAGAAAAGTCATTCCGCTCCCCGCCTCTCCATCAGGCACCATGACGCAGTCGACAAAGTCCATGTCCCAAGCCTGGTCCACTGAGAAATGGTAGCAATGATCAACAAGTTGCACAAATGACAACAATAATCAGGACTTTGCATAGTTAATAATAGTAATGTATAGTACAGTAATAGCAACAGTAGTAAGAATGGTATAAATTTTGAATCACTATCACTATTACTATCACTATCATCATCATCATCATCATCATCATCATCATGATCATCGTCGTCGTCGTCATCGTCATCATCATCGTCTTTGTCATCATATTCTTCATCATAAACCATAAGAATAATGAAAACAATAATAACAATAAGAACAGTTAGAACAATAAGAAGAATAAGAACAACAATGGCAATAATAATAATAATAGCAATAATATATAATAATATATAATAATAGTAGCAGTAGGAGTAGCAATGAGGCAAACCCGATAAGAAACAATCCCCAGAATCATCATTTTTACGGGTGCGAGTTCAACCATCCCCCGAATGGTCGGTTTATTATTGGGTTTACCGCATGAAAAAGAAATGGTAAATACAATATCAATAATGATAATCAATTAGTAGCAATAGTAATCATGTCATTCATCCATGTTATCATGTTGATCCACTTCTACTATTGTTATTACTACTATTTTTGCTACTATCATTATGATCATATTCAAAACCCCAAAGCTCGGTCACCCCGCTGTGTCAGTCTCTTCTGACCCAGGCGGTCCAACCTGCGGTTGTTGACGGTGCACTGGGCTGACTGGATGCTATATGTTAAATTCTATGGATGGTTGTGGCCATGAATCGCCATGAATGGCATAGCAACTTAGAACCTGCATGCATTGCATGCCATCTCTATAGATTAAATTTCTTGAAAGCAGCCACAGAATTGTAGCCCAGCTGCAAGGTAAGAATGCCGACTCTGCAAAGTGGCAGACGTCGTCGGCTCAATTCCTTCGACGATGACAACCACCTAGCGCCGTGGACGGCTTCAAAACGGCAAAGGGAGAAAATCAGGGGATAGTTAATCATCACTCAGAGCTTAGAGTAAGGCCTAGAGAATATGGCTGTCTATATTGTACTGTCATGTTCATACATTGGAACTTTGATCTCAAATCTTCGAGCTGGCACAGCACGGCCCTGCCATATTGTCAACAGGACATGTCCTCCCATGATGTCCCAGGCCTCCTTGTAACATCTGGAGAGGTATGCGCCTCAGTGTCCCCGCACTACTTGGCGCGCAACACCCGGTCATTTCCAGGTTCAACCCACGCCTTTGGAGCAAATCGTATCAGATCGTTCCACTTTTGGGAATGGTCTCAGACAAGGAAAAAATCAAGGTCTGTGAACCACCAAGCAGCTATTGATTTCTTGGCGCCTCAAAGCTTGGCTCTCTTCCACCCAGTTCTGGTTTCTCAAGATTGGGAACCCCAAATTCTCCTCAGATTTGGGAAAACGCGCACTTTATGAGCCCATCAGCTTCAGCAGTTTTAAGCCACTGCCACAGAAGGCACCCCCATAAAACCAAGTCACTCAGTTCTGGCTTGGTGGGATCTCCTAGGTAGGCATGGTGCCCATAGTGGCAGCCCATCAACTTGGATATCTTAAATCAATGGTCAATTGGATTTCCAGGACGGAAATTTCAAAGAATCTATTGGAATCTCATAATTTCGCAGCTGGTTGCAATTGATATGGTGATGTATATGGTGATGTAGTGGCTGGTCACATCTTGGAAAATGTGCGAATGTTCCACTTGCAAGCTCCGCCATGATGCGATGAGTCAATCTGCCCAGTTCTTTGGCAGTAAGCTCTTTGTGACACACCTGGAGCCCAGCAAAGGGATGATAGGTAAACAGCAAAATGTGGAAAAACATGTGATAAACCATCCCCAAAATCACATAAAATCACCATATTTTTACGGCTTAATTATTCTTTATTAAATATCACCATGCCCGAAATCACCATAAAAATGGTATAAAGCATCCCCAGTCATGGTAGTTCTTTATTGAACACTTCACCCCCATGGCACCACCTGCCCAAAAAACCCCGGGCTCTCTTCCCTTTAAAAGGGCACCTCTTTGGGCATGCCGGCAGCGACATCGGAAGCAGCACTGTATTTGCAATGTGATTTCAATGTCTCCGCCTGGGTCCAACGGGTTTGTCCAACATGGTCCAACGGTATGGCTGCTGGCTGCCGAGAGTTTGGGGGAACCATAAAAAAGACCCAAGGGTTTGACAAACGACCACGACTTTTTCGCATGCAAATATGGGGCTATATTGTAAAATATTTTAAATTTAAACCAGCTCTGGGATGTTTGAGACTGAGTCATTTCGTGCGAAGTTCTGATGTGCCCGGCTGGAATGACACTATGCTGACAGAAAATACAAATCATCACTTCCAGCATGTCTCGTCACTTATATGACTGAAATATCGCCTGCACAGAAAGCGTTGTGCTGCAATTCGATGCCTTTCCTACGGAGCTGTAGCTGCTTCTGAGAGACGGTAGGAAAGGTCTGCCCACATGTCGGACACGCACCTCAGCATTTGACTCACATGTCCGGGTGGGTCCCGACACAAGGCGCAAAATGTTAGGCAATTCCTTGTGTGCTGTGTATAACACACTGTAAGACTGGAATGCAGCTCAAGTCGTTCCGCGCACAAATTGAGAACGTCACTAGTCGCCAGTTTGAAAAGAATGGCTTTAAGATGTTTTCCAGTAAGTAGTTCTACCAATCTCAAGAGCTTCCGATGCCTCATGTTATGCTGAGGGACAACTATCGCCCTGGCCCACTTCGTTGCTCGCTTGCCGCTGTCGCGGCCAGGGCCATCGGCGAAGTCTCAAGTTCTCTTCATAGCCTGGAACAGTGCGAAGAGCTGCAATCTGATGATCCCCATTTCTGCAGCTTAATGTCTTGTATCTTACTAGTGTATCCCTCTTGTCTGTTGATGATATCTTTCTTACTGTACCATAGTCGAAGGATACTGGATCCTTTTGATCTATTTTGCAAAGATGATCAATCCCTCCAGCTTTTGTGGAACTCCAGCTCGCCCGAGGTCTTGCCAAGTGCAAGTGAGTGGTGCTCCAAATAGTGCAAATATGTGGCGGACATCTTTATAAATATGCGTAAAAATTGTGCGTGCGTGTATATAAACATGACATGTGTGTGTGTGCAAATGCGCATAGATTGGTCATTATTGGTCATATACACACCATGAAACCATGTATTTTATTTTGGCAAATTGCGACCATATGATTTATTGGGGAAGTGATGGTTGATGGTTGGGGAATTTATAAATGCTTGTATTCTCATAAAATCCAATCCAGAAAACCCAACCAACCATCACCACAGTGCCCCAGCTTCGACGCCATGCCTCCTCCACGTTCGCGAGGCTTCGTAGCACTCTGCAAGGCATTACCTGGGACCCCACAGATTTGGATCAAATAGCTGATAGGTCTGATTGTTCATCCCCTCAAATATGCTACCATAATGATATCATAGGGATTCATAGGGTATAATGTGATATATTATGGTATAATATTAGGATATATTAGGTACAGTATTGTCATAGATTATGATCCATCCCTATATGGCTGGATTGAGACTACCCACGGCATCTTTAGGATCGTAAACCATCCCATTTTGGGGCTACCTACCTTTGACCCACGAATTGTAGGCATATATCACCTATCAGACCTTTCAGACCTATCAACAATGGGACAGTTCGACCGTTCGACCATGGACATATCCAACCATGGTAGATCAACCCAATTGAACGCCCATAGCAAGTCTGGTTATTGGCGTTCTTCATCTCTGTATGCTTGTTGGAAAAAGGTATTCCTTATGGGTTATATAAATGGGTATGGCCCGGCTCAAACATGTGACAGCACACTGACCACACGTTCGATCATTTCAAGAATGAAAGCAGGATTGAATTATTTTTGAGCCACAGCCAAAATTCTCACGTTTTGATGATGTCCAATTGTTTGTGGATGATATTTTGGATGATTTTGGCCATGCCTCAGGCTTAAACTTGGATGTTTTAGAGGATTTTTGGGACACTGCCATGGGTTCCATTGAGCCCAGCTTCTGCTACTCGCTCGAGCGAACCTGGGGATTGCGCCATCGCCTGAGAACAAATGAAACTCATCTGGGGATGGGTCAAAGCCTCTTTTTGTTGCCATATTTTGGGGGAATAAACATCGGTTCACCAGCTATGTTCGGGTACCGGGTCCCAAGGTTTTGACTCATAGCCATCTATAAATGGACTGCAGGGAGTCCCTAGATTACATACCAAACGATTAGTACCTTCAGCTTGTATCATTCATCCCTTTCCCTTTCCAGGTTTCAAGGGGTCGCCCACTGAAATGCGACATGCAACCCCGAAAAAAGTGGGACGTTGAAGTTGAAGATGATTTCCAAATGGATATGGCCGTGCTTGGATCAACAATTTCAAGCGGGCTAAAACTGAGATGAGAGGCTGCGGATTGCGGGTCTGAAAGTTTGAATATCTTGTATCCGTATTATATCATCATTGTCCAATTACACCACATATATGGGTTGCATATGGGTTGCATCCCGTGCTTTTCGCAAAAAATGCCGATAACCTTTTCTACCTCTAAATCAACTTGAACTCCTGGGAATCTGAATCGTGTCTTCGATGTTTTCCGGCCGGAAGAGGGGGTGGGAACGAGTTTGTTCGTTCCACTGAGTTTAGGCCTAAGTATAGGGAAAGACAGACTTCTGGTCAACCATTCAATTTTACCCAGATTTAAATTCAAAGCAATCTGCGCAACTTTCCTCATCAAGATGCAGTGGAAACTTGGAAACTATTTCCACCGTTAAAACTCTTGGGCCAGTCAGACCCATTGAAAGTTGAAAGTCCTCCCTCAAATCTGCAATCAATCCCATTTCCTGCACAACCAATCAGCTGTGGTCACCGTCTATATAACTCGCTCGCCATGTTGCTGGTCTGTCGTTCAAACGTATCCTTCCATGAAGAGAAAGTGGCGATGGTACCAGACCTGCAAGAATCCATAGCCAGTGGGGTGGGATGCCAATCTGCTTTGAGATTTCACCAAGTCTAGTCAGTTCACCCCTGTACCTTTCCATTCACCCGAAAATAGATGAAAAAAGCTGTTCATCATGGATCTTCATTCCCATTAGAAGCAGCTTCCCACCTACTTTCCACATATTTCCACATCCCCAACATTCCCCAACCGTCGGGCCTCTCTCTATAGGTCTGCGGCTGATCCGAGTCTGTTCCATCCTTGAAGTTGACATTATGCGACCGCGGCAGTGCCGAGAAGTAGTGCGGAATCGACGGCGTCGTGCGCGGCGACACCGCAGGGAGCCCTGTGCTACGGTCGCCGCGGTCGCCACGGTCGCCGCGGTCCGACGAGAGGGGAAGGTCCGGGCGGTGCGGCGCCAAGGGACTCCAGGCATCGATGCGGTGCACCACGATGCCTCAGGAACAGGTAATGGTAGTTATAACAGATATAAAACAGTTATGAGCTGTTCACTGCAAACATATCAATAAGCCAATCTAGTAGAAGATAGTAGAAGGCATCCAATTGTGCTGGTTGAATCTGGTTGAGGCTTCCCCATGATATAAAGCATCGCCACCAAAATGGAGTTGTCCCGGAACCACCGCGGTCACCAACCAAATGCTGCCATTATTGTTTGCATTAACCATCCATTTTGGGGGATATGATAATGTTGACTACCCCTAAAGGAAGATTTCGCATCTCCGAAATTTCACGTGGAACTGGAAATGAATGAAGCATGGAAGAGACTGGTTGTTCAACATTGTTTAACATGGTCTTTTTCAAAGCCATGAAGTTTGCGACTACGAGAACTATCCAGTTTGGATGCTGCCGAGAAACTGGGCATTGACAGGAGCAAGGTAGCCCCAAGCCTAAGCGCTTGGACATCCAAGTTTCTCATGACTCTCTCCATGGCCGTTGATTTTCTAATGAGGTGGTTTTAGGTCGTTCTTTTTGTAGTTTATATGTATGTTTATTTACTGTATTAGTATGTTTTCTTGATGCTCATGAAGCCCAAAAAATCTGGTCTAAACTTGATGAGAACTTGTCTATCGGGTTCGGAAGGGGCCTGGGCCTAAGAGAGACACTGAAAAGGTCTCACATGTCAAGAAAACCTGTGCTGTAGATTGATTGCGGACCGGCTGCTTATTGTCCTTATTGTCTGTTGGAAGACTGCGGATCTCCCATGTCACATTTGGGAGTTGCCAAATGGTTAACTCCCTCCCATTGCATCTTAGTAGCTCATCGTCAGGCTGCAAAAGCCGCATTTGTGTGGTTTCAAAACCTGCCAAGACTACAAGGCAAATGGAAGCCACCAGGAAAGGACTCATCGACTGTAAAAATACGCGCTTCTCAACCTTTGGGAGACCTGCACAAATATCACAAATCAGGTGAAATGAATTCAACAAAAATAACTGTTGACCCCCCAAAAAAAATACAGGCCCAACTGCCCAATGCCCATCCCCCCCAACCCTCCCCAAAACCCCCCGACCAACCCCCCACCAGCAACCACCACACCACCAACTCGCACCTCGGATGTCGCTCTGTTCCACGCAGTAACATCTGATATGAGGCTCCACCAGTGCATGCTGGGACCGGAGGTCGCACACCCGGAACATGAAGTAGTAGGCACCATCGATGCATCCTAAGGAGGGCTTGGTATGTGGGGAATTTACTCCTAAAACATGAGGAAACTACCAGGATGGGAAAATGATTGCCATTTCATGGGAAACACTGACGGAAATGACGATACACTTGAGAAAAACACTTGATTTTGGGGTACAGTGCACCCAATTCTTGGACAAATCCAGATGGATCGCTAGTCAGTCGGCTTGTCTTTATATTACATGTGGAGGATTGTGGAGGCATAAAAGGAACAGGAGAGGAGGTCCCAAAGCCATGATGGCTGCCGGAGAAAATTACATAATTCGATGAAGTATGTTGCGGTGATAGCTGGATAATTAAAAACCAGGGGTCCAATATTCCGTTCGTGTGGACCTCAAATTTGCCTGATCGGCCTGGCTTGTACGTACAGTTGTTACATGTTGTTACTGTGAATTCCTGTGAATTGGTGGGATTCATCTTTTGGTATGCCAATGGTTCAGCAATGATTCAGCAGGCATCCAGCCAACCATCATTCCACACTGATCTCCGTCTCGGACCGAGACGCTGATGATGGCTTTTTGGCTACAGAGGATGGTACAAGCCCTGGACTGCGGCCGGGCGATGCCCTGTGCGCTCAGAAAGGCAGGTGGCTTGAGGGTGGGTGGTTGACAGGATTCCCTCCATCACCCTTCACCTTTCAAGAATAGGACCCTTCAAGACCCAAAAGGAGCTTGGCCCAGTAGTGTCTCGTTCTAGCATGTTCTAGCCAACTGCCCCAACTGCCTGAAAAATGACGCCAATGAGGATGGCGCTTAAAATCAAGTTCACCAAAACTTGTGTTGTGAGCACCTAAGAGGTTCAGCAGTGCAGGTATCCGGAAACTGGAAACCAGAGCAAGGCATCGACGGAATTCTGGTCATTTTATCTCAGCGACAAGTGTTATCTCGTCTCTTTGTCAGATCATTTGTTCGGAGCTGCGCTCTGTGGTACTTTGTTTGGAGGCTGTTTGGTTCAGTGAAAAGCGGTTAAAAGCATCATCAAATGTGTCTGTCTCAGTGGGCTTGCAAGTGGAGCTTCAAATCTGATAGAACAGAAATGCCTGATTAATTCTAGAACATCTTACCATGGATCCAGAGAGAAAGAGAGAAGCTCAAAAGCGGAGATGAAGCCCAAACCACATGGAACGTCACCTCAAACCCCCATTTTTAGCAAAGGCACAAACGGACCCTGCCAGCAACCATTCATGTAGGGATCGGGGACTCCATAGCCAATGGTCATCATGGTCTCCAGGGACAACAAATACCTTGGTACTTCTTTCCGGTTTCGGAACTTCTCCCAGCCAGAACCTCACCCTTGCTGGTGGCATCCTTGCAACTAAGTAGTAGAGGCCGAACCATGTGGTAGATTCCTGGTAGATTCCTGGTAGATTCCTGGTAGATTCCTGGTAGACTCCTGGTAGATTCCTGGTAGATTCCTGGTAGATTCCTGGTAGATTCCTGGTAGATCTTGCAAGGCAAAACTGGCAAAACTGGCAGTTTCTTGCCAGTTTAGACTGTACAGAAAAGGCCATCTGAAATTCTCCAACTCCCTGGATCCCATGGAACCCGGCAGCTGCAGTCATCTGCTGTCCAAGCAACGCTTTCACGAGGTGCCCCTCCAGCTGCAAGTTGCAGGCCTTACCTGGAAGTTGTTGGATTTCCCTTGGATCATGGAAGTTGGTGACTGCAAAGATCCCTGGAAATTGGATGAGTTTTTATGGACTTGCCCAAAATTGGCGCATCCAACTGGAAGTTGTTGCATTTCCCTTGCAAACCCCATTGGGTCACTACACGACAGATCACAATCCGCAAGAATGTCACAACTGTTGGAGTGGTGAGCTGAGAACGGGTATGGCCGTAAAGTGCCCTCGGATTCCAGTCTTGCATGGAGTCTCAACCTGCCATTATCTTCAAGCACTCGTAGTAAAACAACCATGGTTTAATATCTATGTCTTATATTGGCGTATTGGGTCCTTGGTTTCCTTCAGAAGCCATTCCCGTTGCCATTCGCCAAGAAATTATCGAAGTTGCTGATGGCGAGGTAAAGGAAGGCGTACACCCAAAAGAGAAAAACGTAGAGCACCAAGAAACAACCTTGGTCTGTCTCTATGTTTGTCTCTGGCTTTGTCTGAAAACGGGGTACGGGTATAATATACAGTAAATGGCCATTGAATTAGGGATATGATGATTCACCAATGGATGGAATGGGGCACTCTAGTTTCACACAAACCCACATTCGAGTACCGATGAACTGCCATGGATTGTCAACCGGAGTGCTTGGGGGAATGTCTCCTTTCGGCATCCTATGGCAGATATTGCTGTAACACGCCGGAACAGGTCATGAACATTGCGAATGTGCTGCGGCCGCTACAAATACCACTAAAATCCACTGAAAGCGATGGCCGGGCCGATAATGAGGAGGTTTGCACCGCTATGATGGCCAACATACCGAAACAAACAGACCACCAGCACAACGTCTTTGCAGGTAGAAGTGCTGGGCCATGCTGGGCCATGCTGGGCCTTTACGCAGCATCAGCTGAGGAACAAAGTTGTTTGCTGATCTTGGCATCCAAGAAGGTATGATACCAATCCTCCAGAAACGCCAGCAGTCTGGTTGGGGTTCAATCATCCCAGCGCTGTGTAAATGAGAATGGATTTGAAACCATGAACCAAAATTTTAGGCCGCAGTACTTTGTCAATTGTCCATTTCACATCAATAGTCTGTGTCCGCCATTGCAGCTTCTGACTTCTACCAATCCCAAATTCCTAACATATGAATACTTCTGGAACACGATGCCCAAAATCACATCCGTAAATATCTACAAATTTCCACAACTATCCATAAATCTCTATAAATCTCCGCATGACGGCAACCCCAAAATTGTGTTTCCACACAAAAAATAGCGCCTCCAGCAGCAGGGTGCTCACCTCCGCCAACGTATCCGAGCAAGAGCCATCTCTGCCTGGACCAATGGGAAAATCATGGGGAAACATTTGTTTTTTTGGGGAACTTGAAGTTTTTGGATATTTTTTGGGATGTTGTTTGGATTTTTGTTGGGATGCCTTTGGGATACGTTTATGTTGTTGATGATGTTGATGTTGATGTTGATGTTGATGTTGTTGATGTTGTTGATGTTGTTGTTGTTGTTGCTGTTGTTGTTGCTGCTGTTGTTGCTGTTGTTGTTGTTGTTGCTGTTGTTGTTGTTGCTGTTGTTGCTGTTGTTGTTGTTGTTGTCGCTGTTGTTGCTGTTGTTGCTGTTGTTGCTGTTGTTGCTGTTGTTGCTGTTGTTGCTGTTGCTCTTGTTGCTGTCGTTGTTGTTGTTGTTGTTGTTGCTGTTGTTGGTGTTGTTGCTGTTGTTGCTGTTGTTGCTTTTGTTGCTGTTATTGCTGTTGTTGTTGTTGTTGTCGTTGTTGTTGTTGTTGTTGTTGCTGTTGCTGTTGTTGTTGTTGTTGTTGCTGTTGTTGTTTTTTGCTGTTGTTGTTGCTGCTGTTGTTGCTGTTGTTGCTGTTGTGGTTGTTGTGGTTGTTGTGGTTGTTGTGGTTGTTGTGACTGCTGTGGTTGCTGTTGTTGCTGCTGTTGCTGTTGTTGCTGCTGTTGCTGTTGTTGCTGTTGTTGCTGTTGTTGCTGTTGTTGCTGCTGTTGCTGTTGTTGCTGTTGTTGCTGTTGTTATTGTTGCTGTTGTTATTGTTGTTGCTGTTGTTGTTGTTGCTGTTGCTGTTGTGGTTGTTGTGGTTGTTGTGGTTGTTGTGGTTGTTGTGGTTGTTGTGGATGCTGTGGTTGTTGCGGTTGTTGCGGTTGTTGTGTTTGTTGTGCTTGTTGTGCTTGTTGTGCTTGTTGTGGTTGTTGGTGTTGTTGCTGTTGTTGCTGTTGCTGTTGTGGTTGTTGTGCTTGTTGTGCTTGTTGTGCTTGTTGTGCTTGTTGTGGTTGTTGGTGTTGTTGCTGTTGTTGCTGTTGCTGTTGTGGTTGTTGTGGTTGTTGTGGTTGTTGTGGTTGTTGTGGTTGCTGTGGTTGTTGCGGTTGTGTTGCTTGTTGTGCTTGTCGTGTTTGTTGTGGTTGTTGTGGTTGTTGTGGTTGTGGTTGTGTTGCTTGCAACAACAATGCCAGTCCTATAACTGGTGCAATCCCACAATCATGAGTGCCATTTTGTGAAATTGTAAAATCCTGGGGGATCTGATTATATATACTCATAAACTTAAACATGAGGATTGGTGGGTTTAATAGTCCGCACTTCTGGATATTCATTCCCCATGGAAAAAATGACGTGCAACACATGATTTTGGATACCCGCTCCCAACACACTTAGAAGATTGGCGATTTCAACATTATATATGTATATATATATATATTAGATAATATTAACATATTTCAATTCAAAATGGATCTAACCAAACACCTATGCTGCCTATGCTTGGCTCTGCTGAACACTATCTTTCGGCGCAATGACACACCCAAACTTCCGTTTTGGTCTTGGCTTCATTATGAAAATAAAACACATTCCCATGTCTTGGCAGTTTTCAAGGTTGAATCAGATTTCCATTTGCAGTCTCCCTGCGTAGAACTCCTGTAGAGAAAACACAGACCAGCTTCATGTTTTCTCCTTTTCGCTCAAGCGTCGGCGCCAGCACTTCGGAGTACACGATGGCTCATTGGCCTTGCTTCCTACACCTGTGACAAGGACAGCAATTCACCGCCCATTTTCAGTGCGATGTTGTCATATGCTGCCTGAGACAGCTGTGGGCTTTGGTTTGCAACTGGAAGCTTGTGTGCTTCCCACCCTCTGAAACCTCCTTCCATCACTACCACTCTTTGCGTGGGCGGACAAGTCTTTCTATAATGGTTTGCCACCGTGGGCGCCCTGTGGGCAGAGTACTGACATAAGAATGCAACCATCGGTTTGCCTTTAAATTCGGCACACCACGCCTCCATGTCCTTCAAGAATTCCAAATCTGGAATCGGACGGGCACCTGCAATTGTGCCAGCGGCCCTGTCCTCACCGCGGAGATCAATCACCACAATGTTTTGTTGCTTCCTTGGCAATGACAGAAAATCCCAGGTTCTTTTCAAAAAGCCTACATGGAAACAATACACGCAACAAGCATAACTAAATACAAAGAAAAAGATAATGGGATAAGAGTGAACCAATCAAAAAGCTCGACAAAGTTCCAGTACCACATTGAGGTAGGCACACGTCCCTCGATCAGCGCGCTGTCTTTCTTCGCTTGCGGGGTTCCAACCTTCAAAGCCACCACCTTGGGCACTGCATTGGCACCTGGAGTGCTCTGAACAGATCTTTGCTGCTTCAAGGGCGCGGCATAGATCCAGTGCGGTGCTGGAGGCTGCATGGGCCGCACAACCGGAGGCCGAACCACCGGCGCCACAGGAACTTGCTGGACGAGTGTCCGCACATACGCCACTGGATTCCCCCAAGCCATTGGGACTTGCCTTGGCCCATGGGCTGCAGGAGTCTCCGCTCAGGACCTTGGCTGTGCCATCTGCATCGGAATATCGGGCGGCCAAGCGGATACGAATATCCTCAGGCTGATTCTATCAAGCAGAAATGGCTGCAGCATTCGCAGGTTTCCCGCACGGCAACTTGATTGCCGAAATCTGTCACTGGCAACCAGTTGTTCCCAACCATGCTTCTTCGCCAAACTCTGCATCGAGCAAACCCGCTAATGACTTAGATGATTAGGGGGCTACCCCCATGACCTCGGAAACCTCCATATGTTCCAATATGTTCCAATCATATACCCTCCACTGATTAAACATGGCAATGGCAAATCCATCATTTATAGTTGATTTTCCCAGCTATAAACCTCTATTTATAGGGATTCTTCCAGTTTGCCATGCCAGATGGTAAAATCTCCCATGTTTCACAGCATCCACCGATCAAGGGCCTCGCGTCCTGGACATGATGTTGTGAAGCATCCAGTGTCCGCGCGACTGGCCGAAAGCACCGCGCCGGTCCTGAACTGAACGGCCAGGTCTCGTGGATCGCGGTAAACTCCATCCAATTTGGGACTCTGAGCCGTCTCAGATGATGTTTCCTATGTTTCCTGGCGGAGTTTTAAGTGGAATCTGACTTATATATATATATATATTAACTTAGACCCATCATTCTTGACCATATCTTCAAGACATTCCGGCCGAGCTTCTACAAGTCGAAAATCGGATCCTATCTCTTCTGCTCCAGACAATGAGGCCTCAGGGACACATGGGAATGGAGATGGGGAAGTCCGGCTCGCAACTACGTAAGGATGACTCAAAACCTGTGAGTTCCTGGAGACACACTCACAGATTCTGCAAAACTATTCGATAGAATAGAATAGAATAGAACAGAACAGAATAGCATAAAATAGCATAGCATAGAATACATTACAATACAATACAATCGGCTGGGATGGGATGGGGTAGGATAGGATAGATAGATACATAGATGCATAGATGCATAGATACATAGATACACACATGGATGGATGGATGGATGGATGGATGGATGGACGGACCGATAGATAGATAGATAGATAGATAGATAGATAGACAGACAGACAGACAGACAGACAGATAGATACATACATACATAGATAGATAGATAGATAGATAAATAGATAAATAGATTGCATAGATTAGATAGATTAGCTTCATTAGATAGATTAGATAAATTCGATAGATTAGCTAGATTGGCTAGATTAGCTAGATTAGCTAGATTAGCTAGATTAGATAGATTAGATAGATTAGATAGATTAGATAGATTAGATAGATTAGATAGATTAGCTAGATTAGCTAGATTAGCTAGATTAGCTAGATTAGATAGATTAGATAGATTAGATAGATTAGATAGATTAGATAGATTAGATAGATTAGATAGATTAGATAGATAGATAGTAGATAGATAAGATAGATAAGATAGATCAGATAGATCAGATAGATAAGATAGATAAGATAGATAAGATAGATAAGATAGATAAGATAGATAAGATAGATAAGATAGATAAGATAGATAAGATAGATAAGACAGAAAGAAAGAAAGAAAGAAAGAAAGAGAGAAAGATAGATAGATAGATAGACAGACAGACAGACAGATAGATAAGATAGATCGATCGATGGATGGATGGATGGATGGATGGATAGATAGGTAGGCAGATAGATAGATAACCAGATAGATGGATAGATGGATAGATCCATAGATGTAACCAGTGTAACGGTGTAACCTGGTGTAACGGTTGTATCCGGTGTAACCGTTGTATCCGGTGTAATCGGTGCAATGGGTGTAACGGTGTAACCGGTGTAACCGGTGTAGCGCAAAATGCTGGACATTACTTGCGTCAGCAATGATATTCTCTGAGTCTCCTAGCTCAAACCCCAGCAAACAGCACCTTTGCATCCCAAGGTGCTGGTGAGATGGGCGACTCTCCCGTGGGGTTCACCAAGGCGGACGCGGCGTGGCGCATGCGGTTGGCGAAGTGGGTCGAGCCAGCGAAGCCCTCAGCTGAACATGTGAGAAGATGGGTCAATTTTGGGACCCAACCTCTGCATGTCGGTGATTCTGGAAGCACTGGAAACCCTTCAAAAAAAATCTTTCAAATTCTTTGGTGCTCGAGTTGGATCATCCAACCCATATTCAATCTGTGGCCAGCTCCAGCCTTGGCAGGAATCGGCAACAAAGCCCTTTCTGCTGTCGACTTGGCCTGGCCGGGTTGGGATTTTTGGCCCAACTCAAATGTGAGAAATCTCAAAAAATCTCAAAAGCAGTCCCAAGGTACCAAGTGCATAAAAATTAGTGCCCAAATCATTCGAATGTCCACCCTTGATGTCAGGGAAGGCAGGTCTCCCTCCCGATCGTGCCTGCACTTTGCGTACCTCGGGGGATCTTCTAATGAGCACCAGATGGCACCAGGGTCACTCTTGGGGCGCCCAGCAATTTCCCCTCACTTTGATGGACCCCCAATGTTCAGGGACAAAATTGACCAGGGCCATCCAGGGCCATCTCCAGATGTCAGGCCGCGCTACCACCGACTTGAAACGCCGTCGGTTTGGGGTTTTATCTGACACGGCCCCCAGGGCCCCCAGGTCTTCATCCGTGTGCGACTTCTGGGCTGCAGCCACCTTCCAGCAGGGGGAGAGATTGGATGTGTTGGGTGTCAAAAACATTGGGAAGACCCCAAAATGATCCAAATTTGTTGCGATGGTATGCAGGTTTAGTGGAAAATTAGGCTTAATATGTTTAAGCATGTTTAAACCCGAAACCATTAAAAAAAAAGTAAACATGAATGAACACTATTAGATAGATCATGGGATGGTGAGTTGTTCACTGAATTTTGGGGAGAACCTGGTTCCCCATTCGGATCCGCGGTGACTGGGTTCTCCTTAGTCTGAACCTGATCGGTCTTGGCTTTGAGGTCTTCAACTGCTATCATCAAAGTCCTGTGATCAAGATGGTTAAACAATCAGCACCCATTGGTCTTCAGACTAGCATAGCTGCGGCTCAAGGGTTCTGAGTTTTTGGACCTACGAAATCTTTCCCGAATGTCGTCCAACCGGTCAATCTCTTGCGGGGAAGCTCAACCAGTAAATTCATAGCATTCCTTAGCGCCCCGACTATGGACAGTTTTTGATGGTTCCGAGGATTCTTGGGTGATCCTTAAATCCATCTAACCTTCCTCGTCAACCCAGCTGGAACCTCATCATCGTTGCCGTCCCACTCCTGGCAGGTGCAATTTTCTGTCGCACCATCAAAGCTGTTGATGTTCAAACCCATCGAATCACAATAGTTGAGACATGTTGAGACATCCCAAGAGATTGTGTGGCAACTCCAAGACAAAGGGATCCAAAGATTATGCTCACTTCAGCCATTGCTACTCTTTTTCATCATGGATTTCTCAGGCATAGGGAATTGACCTCATCTCGGCCACGTGGGACATCAGCACGCCAGGAAAAATGCAGGGCAGGGAAATCTCTTTGTTGACTGACATGCCACAAGAAATCGAAGGGAGAAACTGAAACAATTATGTCCAACTCACCCAAATTCCAAATGAATTCTGAATAGATATGAATCGTACATCACCGTACATCTCTTAAACTGTTCATTGTCTGGATATCAGTCATGGATAGTCATGGCAAAAAACACCATCGTTCATGACCAAATCCGCCCGAACCGAAGGTGTTGGGGTGGTAGTGTAGCAGCGAGTGATACGAATGGACCAATCTGTAAGTCTGGTACAGCTTCACCTGGGGGTCCAAGATGGTGCAACTTGGCCCCGCTTCTTTCCTCTCTGTCCTATTCCCTGGGTGCGGGCAGTTCTCGCCACGAAGCGACTCGAATATTTCACGCCATAACCAGTCGGAAGATCTCGCCTCAGCACGCTCGTCATTGGACAGCAGTGCCTGTGTGATTCGCCCGGCAATGCTCCTGGTGACCATCGACGAAGCTGCATACTCCCATGGTTGACTATCGATTTCAACATTAAAATGATCATCAATCGGATGTAAGTTCCCAAGATTCCAGCAAATCCTGAGACTTTATGGCTTGTCTGAAGATCATGGAAAAAAACAAAATCACTGCTTTATCATCACGTTCTCCATTAAAAACATGCAGTTTAATATAGTTTAACGGGTTTTCAGACAAACCCACTTGTATATCTTGTATCTGTAAGTAGACGGTCCGATGACATCACCATATTCCTTTCATACCCATCCTGTGGTGGTTGCCAAACATCGCGCCCAGGTCAAGCAGTGTCAAGAGTTGTTGGCTAAGTTTTCAGCAGCTGAACTACGGTATACTACGCTCATGTTTTGCTGTCGGAATCATGTGTCAGCCAAAACAAACATGTCCCAACTTGGGGAGTCCCAACAGCTAGAAAAGGAAACCCATTGAAAGGGGTGGGAAGTGGAAGTGGGAACATGCATTTTATTACATATCTATCTGGGGGCCGCTAGATTTTGAGTTTCGCTTCTACCGTAGTTGGAACGCCAAGCCACAATTTATATAAATGGTATCACTCTATGTGTTCCAATTTTCTGCTGGTCCTCAATGCAAGAGTCATATCAGACTTCAGCTGAATGTCTGCGGTCTTCGAGAGCTCAGTCGCAAGATTCCTCTTCAGATTGTTTCTCACCTATGGCCCTCACCAATGTCATGCAACAAGAAGCTCAACTTAACTTGAGTCCAAACGCAGAACACTCAAGAAATATCATTGATATTCAACTATTTCTTGACAAGAAATAGTTGAACAAGTTGAACATACTGTACGTGGCAGATTTCCGGCAACTTGCAATGCATCCAACTGGTGCCGGTTCTCGTGAAACACCAGATGGGCCCCGATTGAAGAGACTTCATCCCCATGTCCTGAATTCTTCACCACAAAAACCACAGCCGAGTAGCAAAGTGTCTCCGCACCCATGGCGACAATGGAGGTTTGGCCTCTCAAAAAGCATTGGTGTCTCCATCTCCGGAAGTAGATTGTTGAGACCCTCATATGGTCAACCCAACTTGGATTTGCTTAAGGGGAAAGAAACATATTCCCCATAGAGTCCCAAATAGTGGATCCATTGGGAAAATAAACATCATCTTCTGCCAATCCAAGCCAGTGGTCCAATGGTTGTACCCTTCGGATCTCTTCGCACCTTCACTGCTGCGGGGCGATTCGCCACACACAAAGCGTGCTTGAGAGGAGCCTCATCTGTCAGGCCGGTGTCTTGAGCAGTGCCAACCCCCAAACCCACTATTCAAGCGACATTTCACTAGACATACCCCATAGATTTGAAAATCCAATGGCCAAAGGTAACATCAGACTTTGACGTCGTCTCCAGGAACAACCCAAAACTTGTGAAGGTGGAAATCCCTCTTTGAACTGCGATAGACAACTCCAGCCCGAGTTCAATTTCCAAAAACAACTGTGAAATTACTGTACGTATATTGGGTGTGTATGAAAATAGGGTACCCCATTCCATTCCATCCGCTGGTTAATCGTCATTTTCCCATTTTTTCATAACCATTTGGCAGGCACATGTAGTGGACCATATCTCCGTGAAATACCCATTAGACCTTTATTGTTTGTCAGCTAAACCCGCAGTTGAACCCTAAACATCATCATCTTGTTGTTTGGATGAATATATATATATGTATGTATATATATATATATATATGTATGTATATATGTATGTATTTCTATATTGGTTGATTGGTTGGTTGGTTGGTTGGTTGATTGATTGATTGATACCTGTAGTACCGCACAAGGCTGTGGCGGAAGCTGCAAATATAAGAAACTATGGGAGAGGTGAGTTGTTGTGATGAATGGATGGCGGAGGGAACCCAGTGATGGATCGAAAGGTGGCTGAGGCCCTGAGTCTCGCTCTCTCTCTCTCTCTCTCTCTCTGAAATTCCCTCTGTCACCTTCTCTCTGTGTCTCTCTATCTGTCCCTCTGTCTATCTATATGTCTATCTATCTGCAGTGTAGCTGGAGTTGTTGTTGTTGTTGTTGCTGTAGTTGTAGTGTAGCTGTAGTCTGGCGTAGTGTAGTTGTAGTTGTAGGTGTAGTTGTAGGTGTGGTGTAGTTTGGCGTAGTGTAGTGTAGTGTGGTGTGGTGTGTGTAATGTAGTCGCAGTTGCAGCTGTAGTTGTAGTGTAGTGTATGTAGTTGTAGTCTTGTAGTCTTGTAGCGTTGTCGCGCTGTATTGTTGCAATGTTGTAGTGTTGTAGCGGTGCAATGCTGTAGTGTTGTAGTGTTGTAGCGTTCTGGCGTTGTAGTGTTGTAGCTGTAGCTGTTGTAGTTGCCGCTGATGCTGTTGTACTTGTAGTTGTAGATGTAGATGTAGCTGTAGTGTAGTTGCAGCTGTAGCTGCACTTGTAGTTGTAGTTGTACTGGTAGTTGTACTTCCAGCTGCAGTTGTAGTTGTGGCGGTATTGAAGTTGAAGTGTTGTAGTGTTGTAGCATTGTAGTGTTGTAGCGTTATGGTGTTGTGGCGTTGTAGCATTGTAGTTTTGTAGCGTTGTAGTGTTGCAGTGTTGTAGCTGTAGCTGCCATTGTTGCAGTTGCAGTTGCACTTGTAGCTGCAGTTGCTCTTGTACTTGTAGTCGTAGTCGTGCTTGTAGTTGTACTTGTAGTTGCACTTGTAGTTGTAGTTGCAGTGTAGTTGTAGTTGTAGTTGTAGTCTGGTGTAGTGTAGTGCAGCTGTAGTTGCATCTGTAGTTATAGGTGCAGATGTAGTTTTAACTGCAGTTTACTGTGGACTAGTGCAGTATTGTGTAGTGTCGCGTGTTGTAGTTGTAGTGCAGTATAGTGTGGTGTGGTGTAGTGTAGTTGCACTGTTGTAGTTGTGGTGTGGTAGTTGTAGTGTTGTAGTTGTAGTGCTGTAATTGTAGTTGTAGTTGTGGTTGTAGTTGTAGTTGTCGAAGGAAGTTTAGAAGTCAAACTTCCGACAATTTGGACAGATGAAAAGCAGAGGTGGTAAGAGTCAAAGAAGAGAAGAGAAGAGCAGAAGAGAGAAGATCAGAGAAGAGAAAGAGTCAGAAGAAAGAAGATGCAGGTGCCCGAAAAGGTAGGAAAGTCGCGATTCACTGTGTTTTTCCAATGATTTGAGGCTCCGCTGGCCAGATGAGAGATGAAAAATTGCACGCCGTTGTGGCGCGAAGCACATTTACAAGTCAAAATGCTTAAAACACTTCACAGATCTTCACAGCACTTTTGGAAGTTGAGATGTCGAAAAAGTGCACGTTGTTGTGGCACGAAGCACATTTCGAAGTCAAAATGTGCAAAACACACCATTCTCGGACCACTTTTGGAAGTTGAGATGTCGAAAAAGTGCACGCCGTTGTGGCGCGAAGCACATTTCGAAGTCAAAATGTACAAGACACACCATTCTCGGACCACTATTGGAAATTGAGATGTCCAAAAGTGCACGCCGCTGTGGCGCGAAGCACATTTCGAAGTCAAAATGTTAAAACACCACATGTTCGCACCACTTTTGGACGTTCAGATGTCGTTCCGCGTGGCAGGCGCAAGGGGTTGTGCACCTTGTCAAAAGTGACCAAAACGTGAGGGTTTTGCAGCATTTCCAAAAGCGATGGTAGGCGTGGGACATTTGAAGAGGATGTGCAAAGATGCATTTGCCGTGGCAGGCGCAGTACAAGAGACATGTTCATCAGAGCTGTTAGGAGGTCCGGGCGCTGATTTCCTGAGAGTGGTTGCATTTTGGAGTATCAGATCTTCAGGTTTGCTGAGATGATTTTGTGTGACAGGTGCAGCAAGTCGTATCACCTGGCATCACTTTTTCGTGGCAGGCGCAGTAGTTTAGACAAATGGACTGGAAAAATCGCAAGAACGCATTGGTACGAGGCCGTCAACTCTGCACTAAACTTTCCATTTTTTGATGTTGTGAACTTTAAAGCAAATAGGAAGTCTCGCAAAGTGCTTTGTTTTTGATGTTGTCAAGTCAAGTGCAAAAAATGAGGCAGTCTTGCTGACAATTGCTGATAGATCGATACATCGATCGATATATAGATAGATACACTCGATACATAGATGCATAGATACATAGATCGATAGACCGATAGATAGATCGATAGATCGATAGATCGACAGATCCACACATCGACAGATCGACAGATCGACAGATCGATAGATCGATCGATCGATAGATGGATCGATTGATAGATATAGATAGATAGATAGATAGATAGATAGACAGATAGATAGATAGATAGATATTTATACATAGATAGATAGGTATTTATACATAGATAGATAAATAGAATAGATAGATCGATCGATCGATCGATCCATCGATCCATCGATCCATCGATCCATCGATCGATGGATCGATGGATCGATGGATCGATGGATCGATGGATCGATGGATCGATGGATCGATGGATCGATGGATCGATGGATCGCTGGATCGATGGATCGATGGATCGATCGATCGATCGATCGATAGATAGATGGATGGATGGATGGATAGATGGATAGATGGATAGATGGATTAGGTAGGTAGGTAGGTAGGTAGGTACGTAGGTAGGTAGGTAGGTAGGTAGATAGTTAGGTAGGTAGGTAGGCAGATAGATAGATAGATAGATAGACAGACAGACAGGCAGATAGACACACAGACACACAGACACACAGACACACAGACACACAGACACACAGACCAGACAGACAGACAGACAGACAGACACAGACAGACAGACAGACAGACAGAGAGAGAGAGAGAGAGATGGATACATAGATAGATAGGTGGGTAGGTAGGTAGGTAGATAGTCACAGAAAGAGACAGAAAGAGAGAGAAAGAGAGGAGACCTCAACCACATGTCGGTCCATCAGTGGCTTCGCCCTGCCATCCCTGACTCACAACAACCAACCTCTCGTCCTATAGGCTTCCTGTTTTTGAAACTTCCGCCACCGCCTTGTGCGGTACTACTGGTACTTGCAGTTGTAGTTGTACTTTCAGTTGTAGTTGTAGTTGCGTTGTGTAGTTGTAGTTGTAGTTGTAGTTGTGTAGTGCAGTGTAGTTGTAGTTGTGTGTTGTGTTCGGCCAAGCCACACGTGTAGGCGGCTTGCTGCGCTCCGTGGGCCAGATCGGAGCTTTTGGGGCCGTCCTTGCATCAACAACAATGCTGGGGAAAGGATCAATGGATTGGTGCATAGCAATCCCGAGGAAAGTAAAATTTTACAAACATCACAAGTAGCACATGTTTGTGTAATCATTTTGGGGGTTACGAATATGATAAGCTTAAAAACTACAGGAAACATGGTTTTCGCACAAATATAGGGAGTTCCTGCAGATGTTTCCTTAAAGCAATTCTCGGAGATGATGAAAACCCTAAACAATTGGGATAAATGAGATGGTTTTACAGTAACCAATGGTGACTGGCACGTAAATGCCAGATAAACCCTAGTAAACTTTGGAATGAATTGGATGCTCTTAACCAAGTGACTAATGATGGATACATGGCATACACGTCGGGTACTTTGAATCAAAGAGATGGAAACCAGCGAAAACTGATAAAATGGATGTCAAAAGGCATGCAAACGGGTTATCTACACTTACACATGCAGTACATATATGCACATATCTGAGCACGTATACATATCAAAACTCCTAAAATCAAACCTGGCAGAATCAATACATAATTATATATACACTATCATTTTCACGGTTAGATATAATATATATATATACACAAATAAAAATAAAGAAAATAAAATAAAAATGATAATATAATAATAAAGAGTAATACAATAAAGCATGGTATAATACAAAAATAACATAATATAATATAACTTAATATAATATAATACGGAAAATGAATAAAACAAAATATAATACAGGAAAATACTATCATATGATGTAAAATAAAAAACAACGCAATACCAATGCCAATACCAATACCAAGACAATATCATATAATGTGATATAGTATAATGTGATATAGTATAATATAATTTGATATAATACAGTATAATGTGATATAATCTAATACGATAAATAATAATAATAAATAATAATAATTTTAAATAATAATAATAATAAATACATAATTATTTTCCTACTATCCTTATTATTAGCATACATACAATAGGACAACTAGCAACAACTCCGACGGAACCGTTCCTAGGCCGCGATCTTGGCAGGCTCGAAGTCCTGGAACTTCAGGCGAGGTTTGAACGAAAAATCAATCCAACGTGGCTGGGAGGTTTATAGCCAGGAAAATCACCTATAAATCATCAATAAATATGGTCTATATGTTTTAAAGAAAACATAGTATCAAATTATGTTGCAAGAATGGAGATATACCTAGGCTACAATCACGGGGATAGTCATGACAGTGCAATGGGTATCATCAATCCAGCATGGTGATGTCCCACAGCAGGTCATTATCACTAACTATATATTGGTGGGAACATCGAGTTGGGCCATGTTCAACACGCCAAAAAAACTAATTGGCTATACCGTAGCCTCTAAACGAGATGTGGTTGATCATCATCCTTCCCCTTCGATTGTCTGTAAAACTGTGAATAAATTCGTCCGGAAAAAAGTTGGAAAATGTTGATGCCAACCAATTTATAGGTTTTTCTGAAACTTGGACCCCCTGGACCCTCCCACACAATTGTGACTTTTAAAGGACGGCCGCAAGGCCTGGTTCCCACGGGAACAACTGAGGCACTGCAAGGCCGAGGCGAGGGAGCCTGGCGCCGGGCAAGCGAAGATTGCGTGTTCAAGGCCCAAGGAACTACTACAGTATATGTTGTATATACTGCGTGTATAAATATATATATATATGTAATTATTATGCATATATATATCATATTATATATATACGAGTGTATATTAGTGTATATACTGTGTGTGTGGGAGTGTGGCCAAGAAGCTTCCAAAAGACGAATGGACATGTGAGACGGAGAAACTTTAGTCACGGCGCACTGCCAAAGCCAGCCCCCAGCAATAGAACTTCGTGCCATGCAACAGCGGTTTTCTTGGAGCCTGCGGTGTCTTCCGCAAAGAGCGTGGTCTTGCTTGTGGGACCAAAATTGGCAACATTTTTGGGGACCAAAAGCATGTTTGCGAGAGTGGTTTTTCCTTGCTAGACACAGACAATCAAACACGACGGCGGAGTGGTAACATGGCAAGATATATTATAGATGTACGGGATGCGCCAATGCATAATGTTGAGGGTGTGCTTGGAAGACCTGAAGCCGTGCTACTGCGAGGGCCCATTCAGAAAAGCAATTTTTGCTTGAATTTGAAGCTCCATTTTCAGAGGCGGCTTGCACACACTGAATCTGCAGCGGGGTTGAAGTAAGAAGAGACAACATGAAGCTAGAAAGACACACAAAGACCCCCTTTGGAAAAGCCCGGGAATACAATGCTACCAGAAGAAGCACAAATGCTTGCCTTGTGGTCTATCTAGGCCCGTTGGCGGGGGCCGCTACTGTAGTTTCCAGCAAAAATGGTCGTCACCACTGGCGGCCCTAACAAGCTGCCGCAGTCAGATTCCCCGGCTTTTTATCGGCGAAGCAGGGCCGCAGCGGGCCCAGCACGGGCCACCACTTGCTATACCCACAGGAAGTGTGGTGATCTGTCGAACATGTACAAACGCGTCTTCGAACCGTAATACCTTCAATCAATCTCCAGCACAGTATAGAAGAGTGTTTGACACGATTGCCGCTCACTTACCTGAGCGATTGGGCATTTGCACGTGGAGTTGGGCCGTGGCGACTGCACCTGTGGTGCAGCATAACAGCAATACTGACCCACGGCTGTTGGTGTCGGAAAAGGAGCTATCTTTGCCGTCCACGTGGAGGACCCTCAATGTATATATATATATTCATATTCATATTCAAATTCATATATATATATATGTGATCAAAAATATAATCATACATAAATACATAATCATGTATATATATGTGTGATCATACATATATAATCATGTATATATAATCAAATATATAATCATATATTTATATACAATCATATATATATAATCATGTATATATATAATCATGTATATATATAATAATTTATATATAGTCATATATATATAATCATAAATACAATCAAATTTATATATATATATATCATCATATATATAATCATATATATATAATCATATATATATATGTGATCATATATATATATATATAATCATAAATATATAATCAGATATATATATATATACTCACATATATATATATATTCATATATATATATATATGTATGATCATATATATAAGCATATATATAATTAATCATACATATATATAATCATATATATATATTCATACACATATATATTATATAATCATACATACATATAATCATACATATATATTATATAATCATACATATGTATATATATATATAATCATACACATATATATATGTATAGATGTATATAATTATATAATCACACATATATGTATATAACCATATATATAATCATACATATATGTATATAACCATATATATAATACAGTATCTATGTGTGTATGTCCTTAGATCTAGATCTGTGTTCTGCAGCCAACATGGCCAGTCACAGGGGTACCTCCCACTATGCAACTTTGCCGCAGCATCTCTCAGGGATGATCGACCCAACCAAACCCGGTATGGCGCCTTGTGTGAAAATTCCGAGATCTCAATCTTCCTGCAAAGAGAACTTAGATTGGCAGTCACATATAGTCACATTGTAGCTTCACATCAACAGCTGCATGTTGTGGCTTGCAAATTCGATAGAACTAGCCAACTATACCCAGCTTCAAACCATCGTAAGATATCCTAACGTTGGTGTTTCCCAATCTTGGGCTGCCCCAAACCATTGATTTCCCCGTTCGAAATGGCCCATCCCCAGACCATAAAATTACCCATTTTTTTTGCATCTGTTTTGTATGATTGGATTCAAAATTAAGAATTTCGGGTTGTTGTTGGGTTTCCCCTTTTACCAGTACCAGTACCATCCATTACCTCCTTACCGCTACAGCGGCTGATTCTCCTCAAAGTGTCGTGTAGCGGATGAGCAGCGGCCACCAGCTCCTCGCATTGGCCAGCGGCTTGACACGTATGGATTTACCATCTATAGATTGTAGATAGAGAATCATAGAGAATGAAGTTCAAAATGGAAGTTCTGGTGTGAGTGGACAGATTGCGAAGCAATTTCCCACCTTGTCCCAACAATCAGATCCAAATACCTATATATTTTTGAGCATGTAATGTAGTGCATTGGTGACATTCACTTGTACACCCCAGCGAACTTGTATGAATCACTGTCACATCCGACACATACCTCCAACAACTGGGGATATAACGAAACATAGTTCTAAAATCATTCAAAGAAATTGACAAATTCATAACAGATCCGCACCTCTTGCCTGACCCCATTACCTTTTCGGCCGCCCCACGCCGCACGTAGCGATCCCACGGCACCTTCCATGCTGGCCAGACACTCCAGTGAGGATCGGGTTCATTGGACAAAGTGGCGCGGATATCCTGGCAGCGGCAGGGGCATCCTGATTATCGAAAACCATGGAAAGTTTTCCACTCCAGTCATTTAAAAATCCATGGGAAGGTCGAATGAATTTCCACTCCAGTAAACCATGATTGTTGATTATTTTAAACATATGAAAATCATCAAATCATCAAAATTCCCATGGGAAAACTCACCTGAATCCAGGCGTCATCCAACATCGATGAAGACCTTGCGACAACTCTCCACTCCGTCGGAAGCTGCACTCGATGCAGAAGATGCACTCAAACATCACTTCAATGGTAGATCATGTTACGGGCCGAAAGAAGGCCACAATTCACAACTGGTTGGTGGCGCAATAACCATCTTGAAAAATATGCGAGTCAATGGGAAGGATTATCCCATATATTATGGAAAATAAAAAATGTTTGAAACCACCACTTTGTCCACTTTGCTCTGCGCACTGCTTTAGTCTCGAAAGGAGTGCTTTGACTGTGGCTGATACGGGACAATGTCACACCGGAACAAGCAGGTGATCCAAAACCCTAGTTGACCGTCCAGCGGGAACAGCACCTAATTTGAGAAACCACCAGTCAGCGTTCTCCAACCGTTCATTCGAAAATGGGTGCGCCATACAGCTGGCATGCATACATATCATGTGGCTCTGTGGCCTACAGTACTGAGACATCACGTCGAATTTGGCACGGCGGCAATCACAGAACGGCAATTGTACAAAACGGAGACCGGAGATGAACGACTGCAACTCCCGGGAACCAAGTTGTGTCTCACTCATGGCCCAAACATCCCCTCGGGACATGTTCGCAACAACACAACCAGCATCGCTTTGGAGGCCAGACGGGTTGGCAGTTTCCAAGACAAAATTGGCAACACAAAAGGCATACACAGGACCCGGGGGAAATGCCTCCCCGACCCTGACAACACTGAAAAACACAAGAGGCACAACCATCTTCATTTTGGCAGACGACCATACTCTCGCATAAGACAGTGCCGATGCTAACCCCACCATCAGGAAAACAAAGTCGGGCATCAGAGCCACCATAGGCCAGTAAGCAGACAAAGGAGCAGTCCTGACACTGCACCAACCAAATGGCTCGCGCCCACCCCATCATTCACCTTCCTCTCTCAGACGCATGGACAACAAACCCCAAATGTGAGAGAGCCGGGTCTCCAACATAGCTTGAGTACTATGATTTTGCGTTTCGATCTGTCCATGCAACTGCTGAACCTGAGATGACAGCTGGGCATGGAGGTAGTTCACTCGCTGGGTCAGAAGGTTGGAAACTTCCACAAATCGGCCATCCATCTGAGACAAACCACTACAAGCATCGATCAGTTTGACAAAGTTTGCCCACGATGGCACAACATGATGGAGCACCTTGGTGCTGGCTCCACTGGTAATGGCAGGAACCAGAAACTGACGCACCACCACCGCATCAATCAGTGTCACTGGACCCCCTCCCAACAATCCACTGTACTTGACCAGGTTGCCAGTTGCTCGGTTCCGAAGCAAATGACTTTCAAGGGAGGAAACAAAGACCACCACAACGAAAACCAGGGAAATCACCCCACCAGCATCCACCTGACCAATGTCCATGGTCAGTGCCAAGGCGACAGCGAGAAACGTAACCCTCAACGCTCAGCTGGGACGGCCGCACCAGCTGGAAGGTGTTGTGCCCGCGGCTGTTTGAAACCACCAACCAGACAATATTACAGAACCTGCCACAACACGCATGAACCATTTAAATTGACTTAGTCTCTCCGATGCATTCCTTGTTCATCACTTTTGCAGTGTTGATAGACCACTTCCATTGCCATGCCAAGGTGCTGCAAGGCCCACTCAGCATTCAGAATTGCCTCTTCGGCTGCTAAGTACCTCAGCAGATTTCACATGGCGAATTGACCCCGCAGAATTCACAACAATGCACAACGTCCTCGAGAAGAGACATGTTGGAAAAAATGCTCAAAGGCAGCTGGGTTTAAGGGTAAAACAGAAGGCAACATGTTTTTGTTGCAGGTTGCCGGGTCCTTTTGCCAAAACACCGCAGTACTCACGCAAAAAGAAGTGAAGTCAGAGTAAACAACTACGCAAATCTGATGATCCTCCTGTCCTCCTATGTCCTCCTTTACATTCTTAGTGTGTTCTTTAACTTTGAACTCAAGATGATGTCATTTCTAAGACAAGCATGGGTACGCTCATGATATTCCAAAAAATATATTGGATGCGTATGGCTGACACCCGTGGCACACTCTTTTTCACACCAAAATAATCCTTTCTCCCCAATACTAACCCCCCCCAAATAATAAACACCTCAGGTAGTTTTTATTACTAGGGGGTATTTATTATTTGGGTGCGAAGCTTCCCCCTAATAAAGCTTCCCCCTAATACTAAATTTGAAACCCTAATATAAAAGATCGACTTGTTTTTTCTATTTCAAAATCGATTAGATTTCCTTTCAAAACCTAATCAACATATTGCCAAAAATTAGATTTCGAAGCTTCCCCTCTAATACTAAATTTAAAACCCGAATGTGAAAACCTATTTTTTTCTATTTCAAAATCGATTAGATTTCCCTTTAAAATCTAATTAAAAAATTGCCAAAAATTGGATTTCGAAGCTTTCCCCTAATATTAAATTAAAAACCTCAATATAAAATACTTGTTTTTGACCTTAAAAGACGGACCCTAATCAAAAACACCCCAGGGTTGACTAGTTGTTACAATTAGGGGGTGAAACCCTGAAATGGTAGCTTCATTTTAAATTGTGTTCGAAAGGGGATCAATTAAAAATCAAATTGGCCAACCTCAAATTTTCCAAAAGTGGAGACGGACCCTTGTTTTTTGTTGTTTGGGGGGTTTAGTAATAGGGGGAAGGGATTAGATCCTTGTTATATTGGCAATGCGTCGACATTAGCTATATCCCAAACATGTGGATGTTTGTCTCTTATTTTTTATCCAAGTAAAAATATGGAGCAAAAGCAAAATGTCTTTGGTTCCGATAATTCTGATCTCAAATTTTGAAGATCGTTGGTTCCCATCCAGGAATGTTGTCTCCAATGTGGCCATCGACGAAGCCCATCTGCAGCCTGGCAGCTTAGATGAGTTGATCTCTCCACGACAGGGTCTCCTCTTCGGGAACTGCGGGAAAGACTGAGACCTGGGACGCGTCACTGCATAGGATTTACCGGATTTACCCCCAAAAGATCCAGATAGCTGAGTTTTTAGCACTAATTTAGTTCCTTGTTTCGTCTTTTCTGCGGCTTGCTGTACCAGTAGCTCCCTCAGTTAAAAAAAAATGATGGATGCAGCCAAAAAAAACATGTACGGCATGGCAAGTCTAATTGCTCTAATCAGCCAGTTGGATAGTTCATCAACGAAGAGTGCCCACCATCTATGGGAACTGGATCTCAAAATGTTTGATGCTTCTTCCCCACTGGGCGCCCACAAGAGCGTTCGCTCTCCAGCACGGCCAGTGTCCACATGTTCGCGGCCTCAGGTTCGCTCACAAGTCACAACTCAAGTCAATGGATTGGCTTATGGGAAATTTTGATAGGAAAGTCTCAGGAAACCCCAGCTTTTCGTCCCAAACATAGGAATGTTCGGATGATCCCTTCGAAAACAAACAATTCTGGGATCAAGCCATCTCAAGTCCAGGTCTGCGTAGTATCAACCCACCTGTTTGAAGGAGCCATTAGGGCTTGCTTCATCCAAACAGCATGGGGATGGAAGATAAAGAAAATGAAAGAATCATCTGATATAGAAGATTATATCTGATATAGTACAGTATGTACATAATATATAGATCATAGACATATTGTTTGAATAGATACAGTTACTTACCCCACCGACTAACATCTGATACCCACCATTTAAAAGTGATTTCCCAGTCCAAATTTCCAGCGGCTCAGCCCAGCAACAGTCTCTTGGATTTGCATCCAACCAACTATTCGCTAAAACATCGATGCTCATGGCGAAAAGTGCACTGATTATATAGGCTTCCCATAAACATTTGGGTGGTTCCGGGTACCCCAAAATTGATGGTTTATAATAGAAAATCATATCAACATGGATGATTTGGGGGTACTGTACCCCATTTTAGGAAACTTCCATTTACACCACGTTGGGAAATGCTGGCACACTCCTGCTGCATTGTCATTTTGAAGAGGACAGCACAGGCCGGTTGCCCTTGACATCTCATTTCTTGGTGGAAACACATCGGAGCACCCTCAACAACATGTGACATCTGGCATGCCTCAACAACTTGACAGGTGCTTTCCCTTGGGCCGAAAGGTGTATGTAAAACATCGATGCAACTTGCAACACGTCCTGAGCCTGGAGGAAACAAAGGCTGACCAAATATACCTCCCAAGCCCACAGCCCTGATCATGTTTTGCGCAGCTCCTAGGGAGTTGTGTCTGAACCCTCTAAACCATGGAGTTTTCGTGACTGTATCACTGTACAAAGATCCGCTTCACCAGGGTGGTGGAAGGTTCACCGGACTGGAGCCAAGGCCACTTGTGCCACTTGTGATTCGTTGGGGAGGATCATGGCTCAGTGGTATCTTTTCCTACCGAGTTTCAATGAAAGCAACACCTGTTCTTTCCAGGCGGCCTCACCGCTGAGCTGCTAGAGGGCGGGATGACCTTTTGCGGATGATAAAAACATATAAGCCCTTCCTCCTAATAATTACTAAACGTCCCCCAAATACTAAAAACAGGCGTCCATCTCCAATTTCAGAAAATTTCAGATTGGCCAATTTGATTTTTAATTGATCCCCTTTAGAAAACAATTTAAAAATCAACCTACCATTTGTGGGTTTCCCCCCCTATGTAATACTAAAAACTAGTCAACCCCGGGGTGTTTATTATTGGGGTCCGTCCGATTTCTTTTAGTTTTTTATATTTAGGTTTTTAACTTAGTATTAGGGGGAAGCTTCGAAATCCAATTTTTGGCAATAATTTAATCGCGTTATATAAAGAAAATTTATTGATTTTGAGACTGGAAAAAATAGTTTTTTTATAGTTTAATTTTATTAAATAGGGTTCCCTAATAATAAATACCACCCTAATACTAAAAACTACCTGCCGTGTTTAGTAAAGGGGGGGGCGTTTAGTATTAGGAGGAAGGGATTATTAAAACTGTCATGGTTTCCAGTTGATTCTGGTTATTCCTCAATCAATTTTGGAAAGTCTCACTTTCAACGCGTGCCACTCATGCCACTGGCTCAGCGTCTGGTTCTCGAAGCAGGGGTTGGTCCCTGGCTCACAAGCGCAAGCCAGGGATGAAAGCCGCAATGGCCAGGAAAACGAAAAGCACCAGTTGCATCATCCCTGAGTTGCCAGGTTGGTTGAAGTGAAAACTCACGAAAACTCACAACCTTTGTGATGGAGTGCACAGAAAATAAAGCTGTTCTGTTGTTTTCATCCTTGAATCAAGACTTAGATCAGTGTTGCAGCTGACATGGCAATTGTGTGCTATTGTGCTGTCAACTCTGAGCGTCGCTGAGGGCTGTTTGACCAGAAAATATCACTCACTGCCATTCGTTCTTGACTCTTCCCCCTTTAAACATCTGCGACGTCTGCGAGATCCCGACGTAGGTTTTGTAAACTCTCACCATGTGCATCAACTTTTGTGCAAAATTATTAAAAGAAAATCAACACATTTGATTTTGTGTGCCAAAATCCAGGATCTCCGACCGAAGCTTTGCATCCTTTCAATGCTAAACCATCCAATTTTTGGGGCATCCAGAATCCAATGAAAAATCAGTAGACCTAACCCAGGGTACGAATCATCTAAAGCTCCTCATAGTTCCAAGGGACCCGAATAGGTGTAGGTGCTACGAACACCAATAAGCTCGCTGAGAAGACCACCCAGGGTGGGGCCCAAGAAGGAACCTGACCGCTGTGCAGCTGTGCATATCCCCATTGGACTCGTGGGTGAAAAATGGTATCCCCATAAAACCCCCAATAAACAATATAAACCAGGTTTATTTGGGTATTACAATCCATAAACATCCATAAACTGGGTTTATTGTAATAACCCCCAATAAACCAGGTAATGATAGTATAGTCTACGAGAATCAGTCAAGGCTTTCGGCTCAAAGTGAGGGATTCAAGGTCTGTTGTCATCCAAACCTGAACGGAGATTCCGTGCACTGAAAGGTTTTGGGTGGATAACGCCTATCTCTTGCGGTTGCATTCCATTCTCTCCTCCATAACTACTAGCCTTCAGATATATATATATATATATGTATTTGTATATATATATATATTATGATGTGTATGTATATATATATATACATCATTATATATATATATACATAAATTGCGAATCGGGGATTGCTTGTCCGATTATGTCCTGATAGTTTGTGTCGAAGTAGTCGTTCCAGTGATGACGTCACAAGGGCATCAGCTTCCGCATTGCTGTTGTTTTCTCCAGTGCTGCAGTGGGTCTTGAGCCAAAGAGGCCAGTTTGAAGAGCCTCTTTGGTGGATCCTAGAGTGTCTAATTGTGATAATGCACAACTGTCCGTAGCCTACACTCTATTCGCACCCCCCACGCATGGCCAACTTTGTCGGCCACGCGCAAAGGAGTGTCTTTTAAATTGATCCACTACACTCGCAGCTGTTCATTTATTGAATTATGGAGAGCTAAAGTCCGCTCAGAACTTTACATCTACATGGCGGCTTGCTACGATCTCTACCAAAAAAAATAAAGGGTTCTGTTCACGTGCATGTAGACACGACGTAGTCGGTGTCTAGCATTGAGGTTCATCCGATGTGGCGTAGCCAGCATGGAATCCCACTCAAGCATGTGAATTAAAGAAATCAAAACACAAATTTGACTATGGAACTAGAAGTTTACCTTCCCGTTCTTTCGTCGGTTGAGATGTAGACCGCTGTAGAAACTCAGCGTCTCGTGCAATGATGTTCAAAAAAAAATGTGTGGTTATAAATTAGCCGGCTCAGAGTCCTCTCAGAAATCATTCGAAATGAAATAGAGGTAAATCTCGAGCAATGACTGCATCCTCGCATCGCCAGGTTCAATCAGGACCTATGCAGAGGTCATATTGATTCATCATCTATATCCCCATCCATAGTATCCCTGTTGGTTCCAGTCGCCACCACGATGTGAATAAGATCTTCCACCTTTTCCTTTGTCTTTTCCACCCTTTTGTGGCGGGGTTACTGGAGCTTGTTTTGGCGGAGGAGCGGTTTCAACTGTTCTCCATGTTGCTGACGATGATGCTTTCGCTTTTGACACCCTGCCCAGTGCTGTTGCCGCTTTCGGGGCTGCCTTCGATTTGCCAGCGGCTTGGTTAGCACGTTCACGATCGGCAGGAGTTGGGGCATCAGCAATCGCAAGTAGGTGGGCGTCAGTCATGTGGATGCCCCATCTTGGTCGTTGATCGTCCCGTTGTTTGATGTGGTTGTAGTCGTCGATCGCATCATACAGCTTCTGGAGTAGAGGTCGTGGTAATTGTCGGCCATTTTGAAGGATCAGGTGCAAAAGTGATATTCTTCGAAGTGCGGGACGAAGAGCACACACAATGTCAACTGGGTTCAGTGTGATTGTGTCTTGAAAGTCGACGTTCCTGAAGAAATAAACAGCATTCACCCTGTATGCACCTGCAATGATTCTTCTGACCATGACGTCTTGTCGGTCAAGGGCGTCGCGGGCCGCTGTGGTCTTTCTCATCTCATCCATCGTTGTGTCACGTTTCGACAGCTTCTCCATCTCCTCTTCAAAGAAGATATTTTGTAAGTCATCATACGTGTAGCCACATTCAAGGGTGTATATGAGAAGTCTTTTGAGTACCACTGCCCCATAGTATGCATTGATGAATCCCTCTTCTCCGATGTCGTCCTTTTGATTTGGTCGGCCGATCTCTTCGTAGAGCTCTTTCATTTGTTGTGCAGTTGGTTCAATGAGTTCACCATTCTCATCCTCGCCTAGGTAAGGCACTCTTGAGTCCAGGTCCATCCTGAATTTTCGGGTCTGTTGAAAATGTTTCCATGCCGTCTCGATGTCACCACAGAAGTTCCGTTGGAATAGTCTGTAGATCCTGACGATATGTAATCCAATTTGTAACAGGAGGATTTTGATGAGCTCCGGCTGAGCATCTCCGATTGTGCAAGGCTCGATTGGTAGGACCTTTGATCCGAACTCAATCCGCTTCATCCACTTGGGGTACTCAATCACTGCATCACGAGCTTCTCCAGCCTCATATTCTTCAATGTTGATTTCATCGACCGCAATTTCTTCATCATCATTTTCATCGGTCGGTTTTCCTTCCTGGTTGAGAAACTTGTCGACCTCATCTTGTTCTCTGAAGTCTCTTTTCTCATCATTGATGTCGCCTTTCTTCGAGGCTTGGTCATCATCTCCCTCTTCTGGTTGAGGTTCTTGTTCCGGACTCTTCATGTTGATGTCATCATCATCTGGCGTCATCTCGTCGCCATCACCATCACCTGTCAAATCGATCTTCACTTCCTCCCATGCTTTCTTGACATGGTCTTTGAGATCTTCTTCTCGATGATGCGATTCGGCACTTGGTACTGTAGCCACGGTGATCTTGATTCGTTTCCTCCATCCGTGACTCACCAAAAATCCTTTGCACATCACGCAAATCGATAGTGGCGCAGGGGTCTCCATCAGACATGCGGGGCATAGTCGATGGTCCTCCTTGCTGGGATGATGAGTGACTGCTAGCAATGATATTGCATCATTCCAATCCGGATGTCCAGGGAACAATCTGTGAGCATGACTGAAGTGACCGGTCTTGATATCGACAAGCTTTCGAAGTTCGTTCAGATCGGGTGATGATTCATCAGGCACAATGTTCCCAATGAGTTTGTCAAATCGTTCAATGGTGGCCACCCTCCTTGCTCCTTGTACAGAAAGTACGAGTTGATCTTTCCCTTTCGTGATCATAAGACGGTAGTAGTCCTTTTCCTTGCAATCGTAGTACCAAACTGCATCGAATGATTCGAACGGAATTGTTTCTTGGACCAAAATGTGTCCGTCTGCTGACAATCGAGGGGAGAACTTGGCAAGGGAGTCGTACGTGATGTAGATGTAGACAAGATCAGTTTGTTCGATCTTCCTGAATCTCAGCACCGACTGACTTCGTACGTCCCACGGTGCGAATGGCACGAAGAACGTGTTGATTCGGTCGCCTCCTCCTCCGGGACGCAGTCCTTCTCTGAAGATTTGAGCGATGTTGTCAAAGGTGGTGCAATGAAATCCTCCTCCAAGAGTGTATCCGACTCCAGGGTTCATTTGATAGGAAGTCTTCTTGTCTTCAATGTGTACACCTCCTTGAACTCTTGAATGAGCCATAGGGGCACGGATTGCCACCGGCCATAGCCAAATCTCTCGATCTGCTGTTCCGATTTCCAGTCTCAGTGTTTGTCGTTCAAGTCTCGAGGTCAATTCGTCATTGAAGTTGTTCATGATGTGTTCCAACTCACCTTTCGTGACTTTGAGTCCTAGCACTTGAGCTCGGATCCTTTTCGTCTGCTTGTACTCAGTGAAGATCACTCTCTGGAAATTGTTCCACCTCTCAACAAGTATTGGGTAGTTGACGCGGGTCGTTCCAGCCAATGTATGTTGGTCTCTCCAAATGTTGTCATACTTCAAGATCGATTCGACATTGACCCAACCTGCTTCATCGCATGGTAGTCCACGGTGGTTTCGATTGTCTTTGACGCAACCCACGGAGTGGCGTAGCGCTGCATTGAATCTCTTCGACAATTCGACTATCCATTGCGGATTGTCCCACTTGTCTCCCATCCATTCATTCTCGCCATATCGATGCACCTTACACCAGCCCATTCCCAGATATTCTTCTCCATTGATGCGGGCAAGTTGAAGTGTACCTATGTTGTGGCCATGTGTGAATGGTTGGATGTACTTGAAGTTCCAGTTGTCTCCACGTTGTTTCCTTTCTTCAGTGAGCCATTTCACATATGCATCATGATCTTTGGGGTTCCAAGCGTTCAGCTCTTCAATGGTCGGCAAAACAGGTGGGGATTCCTCAGCCGCACGTTCAATCAGCATATCAAGCTCGTGACGATTCTTCACACCTCGGCTAATTGGGTTGACTTCGACGCCATTCACTAAGTACTGTCCTCCTTCTTCACGATCACCAATGTCGTACATATAGGCCGACTGACTGTAGAAGCATTTGGTCACTTCTTCCTTCTCAGTGAATCTGGTTCTTCCCCAACGTTTTCCTCGTGGCATGACGTTCTTTGGGAGCTTGTCTTTTCTGCCTCTTGTCGCGGCATTGGATTTCTCCGAAGATGATGGGGATTTGGACTTCTGATCCATGATCAACCTCATGCGCCATAGGGTGTCCCTCATTTTCTCATCATCTGGCGTGGTACATTCATCAATGTCATGCATTCCACCACAAATGAGACAATACTGAACACTCGATGCATCTGCAATCAGCTTCTCAAATCGATCACGGATGTCCCGCACTTCAGTTCGACGCTTCTTCGCCTCCGAAGGTTGGCCCCCCATGTCATCTTCCTCCTCCTCAATCTCGATGTCACCGGCTCCGGCATCGGTTTCTCCTGAAGTTTGTTCTGCTCGAGTGCCCCGCGCCGTAGGCGTCGTGGTCTCGTCTTCAGGTTCGCCAACTTCATCCTCCTCCTCATCGCTTGAAGAGACCTCAATCATTTCAGGATGGTCGTCGTAGTTGGCTTCCGGGAGCACCGGCATTCTGGTAATCTTCTTCTGCATGAGTAGTTCGAAGATTCCCGCTTCTCTCAAGATTGTAATCACCATGTTGTTCTCGACCGGTGGAATGTATGCCTTCCTGGATCGGTTTCGCTTTGTGTTGATGGTGTCGGTGGGTCGACATGAACTGCTGAATAGCCAAAATGACTCTTCCAGTCCTGCGAGGCAACTGTCAAG